TAAAGCAGTGCTTGAGTATTTCTAAAAGTTCCCTTTCTGATCTTCAGACTGCAGTTCTTCGTTCCCATGCTATTCTGTATTTTTTATTATTATTATTCTGTATTTGCTTACTCTCTGTATATTAATTTTGCTTACCACTATGTTTTGGGCAGTAAAAGTAGACTTGGGCAGGTTTTCTGGTGTTTATTAATTCATGGCATATGCAGTGTTTCTTGGGTTAACAAGTTACAAGAAAAAGTTAGTATTGTCTGTTCTCCATCATATTTAAAAAAAAAATTATACAAACAATTTCCTCAACATGCAGTGCTCTAAGTTCCCTTTCCTTGTGTTGTTTTTGGACCTGGAGTATTTTGAAAATGACCTCTTAAAAAAACAACAGTATTTTTAAAACCTCTTACTGGAATGCATTTGACTTGAGTTATTCAAAGCAAATGTAGAGGACTAACAGACCTATGAAAATGGTCTGTGTTGCTAAAGCAGCGTTGTTTGCTTAGCTCTCCAGGATGTGTTCTGTTCTGCATGCATATGTGGGACTTCCTGCGAACTCTATGAGAACTATGTGCACCTACCAGCAGAATTTAGCTCCCTGAGATCCACAAATATGTTTGGACAGAGTGCAATGCCACAATCTGCTGGTTGTAAATTTCTGGTAGGAGCTAGACCTTTGGCCAGGAGTGTTGAAATGAAGAGGCCTGATGATCTCCTCTGTGAGGTCCTTACTCAAAGGATTATGCATCTCTTTTTGGATAAGAACAGCTGTGATAGCTCCTGTGCTGGTTGTGGGGGTACAGGATGGGCTCCATTCGTGCAGGAAGGCTTTAAAATGCACATGCCAAAATCTTTGTTACCATATATGTAGCTTAGCTCCCCTGATTTAATCAGGGTGATGCCACATGTCAGCTGATAATCCAATCCACAGAGCTGTATATATTTATATATGAATGTCCTATGGGATTAACGGACAATTTAACTATTGTTTTGTTGAGATAAATCTCACTTACTGAAGATATCAGGTGGGTTTTTTCAGTGCTCCTTTTCTCTCTCTGTGGATCATACAATGGGAAGAGCCTTAAGATGCTTAGGATTTTTTCTCCTCTTTTTACATATTCTCACATGTGCAGACATAGTCCTGCAGTTACCACATTGCACATAATTGCTGTAGGGAGGATGATGATTTCAAGTAAGAGAATATGAAGCAGGATCAGATTAATTCCTTAAGCAGTACAGAGTCTAACTTCTTGTGTATGTGTTTCTATTTCAAAAATAAAGGCCAGACTCCCTTCCCTTTACTATATATAGATTATCGACAGCGTCGTTTTGAAAATACAATTTTCTTAAAATAATCACCAGATCACCAGCAAATAACTCTTCCACCAATCAGCAGAGAAAGACAGGTCTAATATCAGCCCAAAGTGTCTGAAACAGTGGTTCTAGTTAAAAGCCTTTCTGGACACATTTACAAATTCCAACAGCCATGTGAGGGAAGACAAGAAGAGCGAGAGATGATAAGACCTATGTAAAATGAGTTCTGTTGCTTATGAAATCTCAAAGGAAAGCAGCTTAAGAACAAGTGAGCACATGAATACAAGCAATACCAAAATAATAATTTTAACTTCATTGGTGCTTTCATAATGCAGGTAGTGAAACAGCTTCTTGTGTATACATACAGAGTCTGGAGATTTTTTTTTTAGCATGTGGGAAGAAACAAAAGGGTGAAAAATTATGATGTCCTCAGCAGTGCACTTGATGCTTACCCACTGTAGAAAACTATCTGTATAAAACATTCTAAAAAGAATTTGCTGCCAATCAGCATTTCAAACCTCTTTGTATAAATGCCTTTTAGACTAAAGGCAGTCATCTGAAGCTCTGACTAGTGGTCAACCTGGATGAAACTTCACCTCAGACATCCAGAAGAATCCATCTTTGGTTGTTCTTATATTGATTTAAGCTTCTTAAGTTGACGTATACAGTGGCAACAAAGTGATTAGGATTAAAAACACAAACCAGCTATCCTCTGGTCACTTAAATCCTATACAAAATCATCCTCTTTTTTCTGAGATATTTCCTTGTTCATGATGGCAACACCAACCGTGTGAAGATAGTTATGTTAACTGATGTATGATTTCATTTGTCTTCAGTGGTGTTATGCTTCGATTCAGTCTTTTAGTGAGTTATAAGCTTTTGTGGTTCGAGTATTGATGAAATCCGCCTTCTTAAAGTCAGCCTTTGGAATGAAAGAAACAGAATAATTCATTATCTTCAGTGTCAATTCTGCACGGGAAGGGTAGGTTCTGCTGCCTAAAAGCTAGGTATAGATCCATGGTAGTGGTCTAGGCAGAGCCCTTTATAGTCAACAGAAACAGAACAGGCATCTCCCAGAAGTGACTGTTCAGTCTAAGAGAGGTGAGATGAATCACTGGAGTTGCTTAACTCTCTCCAGTGACTGTAGGGGAACCTACTCTAGTTCAGCTCTACAGACTCCTAACTCTGAGGTGACTAATGTCAGCTGAGGTTAACCCTATCTGAACAAAGAGTACAGGGCAATGCCAAAATGACTCAGGATTTTATCAGTCTAATTTTATCAAGTGATTTCTGTTGCTTATTACACTGACTTTTCAAAAATGTCTAGGCATTAGGCAGCCTGCAGTATTCAGTGCTCTACCTGGTATCACTAGAAGAACCGATGTGCACAGGAACAGCAAGTCATCAGCATTCTTTGAAACTCTGATCCAACAAATGTGCCTTATAGGCATACCAAAAGTACCACTGACTTCAGAAAATTCATGCCATCAGGGATATTGCTGTATAGTGAAGTCAGGAATGTAGTTCCAAACAGATACAATAAAATCCAGTAGGGCACCCTTATTCTTGAATTTAGATTTCTGGTTTGTGGGGCAGTATACTGCTGAGTGTGATGCAAGACTGTTAAAGGATACTACACTAAGTAACTTTTTTTCTAGCAAATTTCAACAAAAAAATCTACAAAAAGAAACAAGCTGACTAATAAATACTAAAGGCAAGAGCCTGAAAATGGAATAGTTCTAGGTTATAGGGAATTTCAGGTAACAAATTCTGAACAGCAAGAAAATAAGGAATGAAAACAATTTGAAATGCAGGTTGCAGGTAGGTAGGTTGAAGTCAGCCCAGCTGCGTGTTGAAAAAGCTGCCACAGAGTTTCAAAAGGAGAGAAACAAACAGGTTTGTTGGCTGACCCGTGCTGGTCATTTTTTGTTTGATTTTGACTGTGGCAGTAAATGTTTGCCAACACCTTTCCCAGGCCCTATCTTTTTGTCTGAATGTAACTAACACCTGGGCGTGCAGAACATACAAACAAGTAGGAGAACAAAACTGCTCTGGCTTTAAAGCAGGAATCTCACCCTGCCTTTGCTTTTGCTGGCACCTGAGGCACTCTGTGCCAGGTTGGTCCAGTCAGTGGTGGATGGACACCTACTGCGCATCATTTCTCACCACCTGAGACTTCTGGCAGGCAGCAGCAACACTTTTCATAACTTTGCCAGTGGTATAAAACCTCAGAGGGAGAGGATATGAACACAGATGAGCAAAAATTAAGGGCCTGCATTACTTGTGCAGGATTGTGTACATGCAATAGAAATACCAAATTCAGAGACCACCTGAAATTCTACCATAGGATTAACAGTGCAGAAGTGCTAAGGGCCCCGGAGGATAAATGAGAGGGTTCTAGGTCCGAAAGGACAGATTACATGTCTGCTCTAACCCAGATCTTACCTTTTTGTAAGCACTGTGGAGATCAGTATGTGACCACAAGGAGTAGAGGAGGACTGAAGCAGCCCTACTAGCTTTGCTGGACATATTACTGCAAGTTTGTGAAAAGAATGATAAAACACATTTAAATTCCCACTTCATAATCACAGTGCATGTGTAGACTTCAGCAAACATAACCTCGTGGCATTTTTTCTGTCTCTCCTCCTAAATGCTGTTTTACTGCTCTTTAGGTATGCCAACACATTTCATGCTGTCCTGACTACTGAAACAAATGCAACATACCACCCTGCTTCACCCATTCTTCAAAATTAGAGAGAAATTAAGTACTCTACAGCCTTCAGCTTAGAGCAGCGATCATACTGCTCATTTTCAGTTGAGGAAAATACACCTCAGCATAACAAGCATTTGAAAGGAACTTTCCAGCAGGTAAAATCTCTAGTTAGTTAGACAGGATTTAAGCTATCCAGAACCTCATAAGGCCTCCTTTACTGAGACGAATTTCCTCTCTCATTTTGTAAAAGGAGAAGAAGGCAAACAGAATAATTATTCATATTCACAAAGCATTAATTATTCTCTTTTGAGTAAACATTGGTTGCATATGATTACATATTAAATAAAGATTAAAGGAAATTCAACATCTATTATCTACAATGTCCCTTTATAAATAATTTTTAGTGATAGTTCTATCAGCTCTATAAAATGTATCTCTGTACTTTTCTGGTAAAGATTTTCAAGGCTGTGTTACAAAGAACTGGAAATACAGAAACTTCTTGGAGACAGATCAGATTTGATGGTCAGCCACTATATATATCAGAATACAGATAATGTTCTGCCATTACCTTCTGAGGACTTATTAAAATGCTGGAACATGGCGAATTTAGCTGTGAATGGAACTGGTGTCATAAGAGATTCTTCTGTATTTCACAATATGTGCAATTCTATTCACATCACAGTCACTTGTTTAAGCTGTCCTGTGTTTTTTCCCTCCAAGTCGCAGACCTTGCAGTTGCTTTTTTCCCCAAGGAAAGAAGAAGGGAGAGGGGAAAGCTTCTCAGCCATCTTACCTGTCATTCATGCTGATGGTAATAATCTTCGGTAGGCCATCAGTACTCAGGAGAAGCCGTGCATTGTGAGAACTACTCTGTGTCAAATTGTACAGGGTGTAGCAGACGGACGCTGTAGTTTCACAGACAATATCAGACCCTGGGACAGACTCGGGAAGTATCGAGACCAAATCAGGCAGAACTTCTCTAGCTACAAGTTGGAAGAGAGACAAACAATTCCGTTACTAACAGCTGCAGATTTACCTAGGGGTCCTCCAAGACCTTATTCCTCCCGCTATCACCTATGAAGGTGCTGTGTGCTCCCACAACTGAGTAATGGTTTCATACCTGCATTACATCCCCGCAATTTTGGTTAAGCTGCATCTGCCCTAAATCTGACAGTATGTATTTTGCTTCTTATATACAATATATGAACACCTTGTGTATTGTAGTGAGGTCAATATGTGTGCATCAGCAGCATCAACAACGTGTTATAATATTTTCATTAATAGCAAATGTTCTCCAAGGATTAAACCGTGCCCTGGAGACTGTTCAGCAGAATTCTGAAGGTTAATCTGCCCCATGAACCAGCTGTGTGCCTACAATTTCCCCTTCCTCTGTTGGTGGGAACACAGAAAAGGACAACAAATGATGTGAAATAATTTTATCCTGTCATTAAGAAAAATTCTGAGAATGCTCAGAATAAAAATGGATTCTGAAGTGAAAATAATTCTAACATTTTAGAAATAAGGTCCTCTAAAAAGATTGAACTATTTTCTCGATAGCATCTTCTAGCTTCTATTCTCAAAAAACTGCAGAAAAGCTGTGTGAGCTGCAAGCTTCCAAAGCTTTGTGTCTAAAAGAAGAAAATACAGTCTTTGCTAGAAGAATTACAGATGTTCTATGTTTTCTCACAAAGGACTATGTAGCTGTGGAAGCACAGAACTGGGCACTCAACTTCCTTTACCCTATTTTAAGGGAAGAAAAACTTCCTCTCCAAATCTGTGTAGATTTTACTTCCATTATGTAATTTTTGAAAGTAACATCAATGGAAGTATCTGATGAGGAATACACAGTTTAGAGAAAACTTGAGGTTAGAGTCTTGCTTAGGCAAAACTCTTTATTTTCAGCCCTGTATGATGACTGCAAGTACCTGACCTAAAAATCTAAACTCATATATCAGGTTTTTTTGCACACTTCTTTTTTTTAAAGAAGGAAACTTTAAGCTGAAGAGAGCAGAGAAAGAAAGCCCAAGAGACAACACGTTGGTCTTTGCTCACCTATATCACTTTGCAGAGAGGTGTTGCGAGACAAGTTCCTGAGCAGTGAGACTGCTGTCTTCTTTACTGTCGGGTGGCTTACATGCAGCATAGTTCGAATACTTGGAAGGCCATTTGCCTTCTGAACAACAGTCTGGGCCACTGCAAACGGCATCTGTTATAAGGCATGTGGCAATAGTGTGTCATTAGGATGAATGTATAGCCTCACTCTTTAAATGTTTAAAATAGTTTAAATCCAGAGCTACATATGAGCTGCAATGGAAAAGGAAGGTGATACAAAAGAAGTTTCGAGCCCTCTTTCTCCCACATGCTCTTCGGCCAGTTCCTCAAACAGCCGTCAGTTTCTTCACCACAAAAGTGATCTGTGAATCAGAGACTTCCTCTGACTTCCACAGGACTCATTATGTTCCATGAAACCACTTTTTTGGTGCTTTTAACATCACTCATCCCTCATTGTGCAATAAATTAGTAAATTCCACATGGAGGCGTACACAGAGGGAGAAGCAGCAGTGCCTGTATTTGCCAAGCAAGAAATAGTTGTGCTGCTTGTTGTGACTTTCCTTTCAATCTTCTTTGATTTCTTTGATGGTGGCTGTGAGCCAGTGACTTGTCAGTGGTTATCTGAGCTCAATGCAGTAGGCATGTTGCACTGCAGCCCTAAGCTCTTTACATTCACATTAAGAACTAAAGGACAAGAAAAAGAAAAAAGCTGACTTACTGGTCCAGTGCCAGCTGTGAGATTCTGAAGAGCACCCAGGGATGCTTCCTGGGTATAGTTTCTGGTACTCTTTGCTATTAAGGAGAGATATATCCTAATCAGTGTGGAATGCCAGAGCGATTCAACACCTCTGGGATTGCTCTTTTCCTCAGGTAATGGGGTGTCCTGCTGCTTCTAAACATGTAAACAGATAAAGCCTTTAGAAACAGTTACCTTATATGACTTAATGCATTACAAGCTAAACTAACCATTTTGTAACTCTCTATGACCAGATTGTCAAGTTATGAACTCAAATAACAACAGGTAAAATTTCAATATTTAATTATACTGGCCACTCCATCCAGAAAGAGGAGATAGCTATGTGGGAAGCTGTTTCTCATCTCTCAGCAACTGACACTAGGGGCTGAGGCCAAAGAGAAACAGAAATCACCAGCTAGAGTTGTACAGAAACAGAAATTGCCAGCTAGAGTTGTACTGTGGATGGAACAGGAGAAGACAGCATACACTCCAGCAAAACCAGTAGATGGGGGAGGGTCATCAATCCTTTTCTTTTACTTCCACCCTTCCCTAATATCTGTTTTCCCTCCAACAATTCCCAGTTGTCAGTATATTTGGGATCTGTACCACATCACATCAAAAGAGATAGCCCAAAAGCCAGCAAGTCATGCAAGTGGTAAGTCACGTTGTGATGGTTTCACTGGTGAAACCATCTCAACACGCACTCATTGGTAGGACACTTGCACAATTGCCATACATGATACAGATACCACTTCAGTCCATCAGCAAGTAAGTGTCACACTACCAGATACATCAATAACAGATTGTGAAGTAGATTACAGACTTACTCTCCAGAAGTTGCTACAACTGATTAACAAAACGAGACGTAACTGAACATGTGCTTTACCTCTTTTACTTTTCTGCTCCGTGTTCCAAAACAGCCTGGTGTTTTATCATTGCTAGAAATATTTCTTCTTTGCATATATATGCTCTGGGCATAGCTTTCAGGGAGCTCTATCTCTAGCTGGTAGGAAAGATTGTGAAGAATGCACACACAGTTCTCTGTGGCCTAAAATAACAAAAGAGTAGAAATCATGAAAGCTTTGGCACGTGTTGAAGGGACATGTATAGACATGGGAAGAGCTTTCATTTTTGGATCTTCAGCAACTAACTGCAGAGCTTCTAATGGCTTACAGAAGAGCCACAAGACTGCATTTACAATGATAAATTAAACATGTCCTGGGATGTCCCTGAGCACAGAGGCCAATTGGCACACACTCGAAGCGAGGTGCATGGCTGTTGGAAACGGTCCTGGGACATTATAATTCCTGAATTGTTCCTGGGAATTGTTTGGGCGAGTGCTATTTGGCACAGACCAGAAGTGTGTCAAGGAATGTTTAAGAGCTTAAGAGTAAAGATGATCACGTACACACCTCACTGTAGCATCAGCAAGAGGAAAGCTTTCTATCTTTCCTAAGGAGGAAGCACTTTTCTGTGGTAGAACACTTCTTAAAATTAGATGTGCCTTTCTGGGCATAGCTAAGGTCAGGTATACAATTTCTGAGTGATGACCCTAGTGGCAAATAGCTTTATTACTAATTCCTCCTTTTTTGAAAGTAAAAAAGGGATGAGTGGTTTTAAGACAAAATGCAAAAGGGAGAGCTATTGGTGTAATTTGCTGGATTCTCCCTGAAGCGAATGGCACTGACTGAATACAGGGAGATGGAGAAGCTCAAGTAAGTAATCCTAGAACAGAGCTATAAATACACAGTAATTACCACTGCACAGCACAAGTTATAGCAAGAGCACTAGAAGTGCCTCATAGGCTGCGGCTAACTTTCTTCTGAGTGATGGCTGGTCTTCTCACCCAGTTAAAAGATAAGCATCTAGTCTAAGCAATGTCCAGGCTTCATCTCCAGTCAGTGGTGGGAGGAACAGAATGAAAGGAACTCACTTCTGGAGGTGTCTATGTCCTTGTAGTTACTAGCTTAGGCAGCAATATAACTTCTAAAAAACTTAGGAAAATTAATCCCATTCTAGATGATGCAAGCTCCTTAATTACACTGCCACCCAAAGGGATTTAGGTTCTTCATTTCCTAAGGGCTATACAGCACTAAACAGACAGGAAAGTAATCAGATTAATTTTTTAAGCTTCTAGCTAGCTAGCTCCCTGAGACACCTATAAAGGCAATATCTGACTTTTTAGGTGTTTCAGTATCTCTGAAAGCTGTGATTTTATGTCACTTTTTAAAAGAAGACAGAAGTTTCTAGCTCTCTCTAGTGATTCTGAAAATGTTTTCCCAGTGCTAAGGTATGGTATTGTCTTAGACTGCAGGATAAAAATACTTCAAAAAGCTTCTTACTGGACTTTATCTTTGGTGGCAGTTCTAAAAGCCCTGGAAGTAAGCATATATTTGGCAGTTACTTTACAACTATTTCTAAACATAGTTTTCTAAACAAAAAAAAAAAGACCTTTTATCTCAAAGAATACCTTGTCATTAGGCTCGTGGTCTGCAATAGCTCCTTGAATATAATACACAAGAGAATCAATCAAGCCGTCACATTCTCTCATCTTTTTCCTTCCTTCTGGGCCAGCAGAGCTCATGTTTCTGTGCAGGAAGGAATACGTTGGTGAGAAAGATTTAGTCAAAGATATTTCCTTGTGCCCCTCTGACAAACTTTTCCAGCTAAATCTTAAAGATACTGAAGTCAAGGTTGGCTGCTTCCTTTCTTTAGAGCTGTAAGGTAATCTGAACCTCTGCTAAGTAAAACTTTCAATTCAGTGCACTCCCAGACAAAACCAAACACTCCAGAAAAACCAACCATTGTGTTTGGATGGATAAGGTGAAAGACCTCACTCAAATCTTAATCTCAAAATTGAATTAATCCTTCTTAAACAGTCAAATAAACTGCACTTTTTTTCAATTGTTGTGGTTTAACACCAGTTGGCAACTAAGCACCACACAGCTGCTTGTTCACTCCTCCCTGCCACAGTGGGATGGGGAGAGAATCAGGATAAAAAAAAAGTAAAACTTGTGAGTTGAGATAAAGACAGTTTAATAGGAAAGAAAAGGAAGAAAAAATAATAATATTCATAAAAGATTATACAAAACAAGTGATGCACAATGCAATTGCTCACCACCCGCTGACGATGCCCAGCCTGTCCCTGAGCAGTGATTGCTGTCCCCCAGCAACCCCCCTGCCCTGCCCCCTTCCCCCTCAGTTTACACACTGAGCATGATGTCCTATGGTATGGAATATCCCTTTGGCCAGTTTGGGTGTCCTGGCCATGCTCCCTCCCAGCTTCTTGTGCACTTCCAGCCTTCTCACTTGGTAAGGTATGAGAAGCTGAAAAGTTCTTGACTTGGTGCTTAGCAACAACTAAACCATCAGTGTGCTATCAACATTATTCTCATACTAAATCCAAAACACAGTACTGTACCAGCTACTAGAAAGAAAAATAACTATCCCAGCCAAAACCAGGACACCATTATTCCATTTTTAGTTATATTTTTAACACTTAGGACACTAGCTATGTCAAAATATCAGAGGAAAGATACCTGTAAAAATTTCCATGCACACAAATGTCCTTTAGCTTCTACCTACACCAAACTAGTTCTTGATCCAAGATGACTCATCAACAAACACATGTTCTAAGATTTCTAAAGATAACTGATGTCAGTTATGGGGCCCTATTCACATGGCAATTCAAGTGCTCATGGAAATGCTCTGAGTGGTGCTAGCAGGCAGGAGGGGACATGAACACAGATGAGTTGGTAGGTTGGAGCAGTAGTCCAGCCCCACCGCTGGGCAAGAGGCTGAGGGGATGAATCGTGACTGGCTGCCACTGTCATTGCTGCTAGATTAGCAGTGTGAGGCAAGGAAAAGGGAAAAATACACCATGCTCAGCTGATTTCCAGCTTCCCAGAGAAGCTGCTGGCATCTAAGAAGAAAAAAAATGAAGCCACTAGAAGATGCTCAGTCACAGAGGGAAACACCAGATGCCTTCTGCTGTTCTACCACAGCGGCTCAGACACTGCTCCACATGCTTTCTGCTTCCTCCAGAACCAAAGGAAGCCACTGCTTGCTCATCTTTCCAGTAACAATTCTGTGCTTTGTGGTAACCCACGTACAACTTGAAAATGAATTATGAAAGTGATTTAAAAAAACTCTTGAAAAGCCAAACACATACTTCCTGCTAGAAGTTTGGCTCTAAATAAGATACTGATTTCCAGGGAAGTAACAACACTTACAATTTTGGTTTTACAACTGAACAAACTCTGAATTATGGGATGCTGGAATTATAGACCTGAGCCTCATTATTTCGGACTCCTCTCGCTCTGCTGGACAAAAGGCTGCACACACTACCACATTCCAGCTTCTTTGTTTGAAATAACATAACTATAACCCAATCTTAGCCCATCACATACAGAGGGACATGTTCCTTTAGTTTGGGGGTGTTTATTTTGCATGTTTACTTTGCCCAGTGGAAATTACAATGGTTTAAAATTTTATTAACGACAAAGCCAGCACGGTACAGCTTTAAACTTTCCTGTGGTTTATGATTGTAAAACGAATTTAGTGCTTTATATACTGTCAATGCAGTTCTGTTTTTTTCCCCTGTGAAGTACATATTGCAGATTAAACACTAATGCATTGTAATTATAGTTTTACTTTAGGTCATGCTCTTAACAATATCCCTATTTATCCCTATTTATTCTCTCATGGAATTATATATCACAGAATCAATAGTCAGATTCCTCAATAAGGCCTACTATAGACATAATTTTGGAATTTAATTTTATCTATATATGTCACATTCGAGACATGTCACCCTTTCACATGCTTATGGTTATGCTGACAGAAATGTATTTGTTACAGCCCTTCTAGCCCATAGCAAAAATAGTTTTGGAGGCACACAGACTAAAAATACTATTAAGAGATAAGTGTGGAATTTCCCTTGCTAAAGACACTTTAGCTGATACAGGATTTCATTTTGGCACAGTACGTTATTCTAGAAATCCATGAACTTTTGACAAGTACTATCATGCTGAATGGCTGTACAAGGAGAGGCCATCACCTGGCCTTGCTGTTTAGCATGAACCTGGTGGGGCACATAGCTTTACACCTCAGGAGGGAGGCAAAGAAGAACCTGAATCAAAGGCACTGCCTTGTTCTGCAAAGGAAAGTAATTACTGAACTCCGTTTCATCAAGTAGCTAATGCTCAACTGTTCATCCAGTCAGAGATACCAGTGTGTGTCTGTACACATATGGTCACTCCACTCTCCACCTTTCTCAGTTTCCTTATTTATTGCCACAACGTGCTGCAACTTGCCCAGTTACAGTTGTAACCACCTTGCTCTGAATAGGGTCAGAGTTGGTTTGAAAGCAGAGAAGAGCATTTCAAAGACCTCAGTTAACAATTTAAGTTTGTTTGCTAATTGAAGCTTGAAAAATTCCAGGAAATAAAAAAATATTATTAGATGGGGAAAAAAGAAATGTTTCTGAGAAGTGTCACAGACACATAAATTAAAGAAAAAAATAAAATTGAAACAATGGCAACTTTTTTTTTTTTTTTTTTTTTTTTTTTTTTTTTTTTTTTAAGAAAATTTCCAAACTGACTTCATCTTGGCTTCCCAAGATCTGAAGTTCCTGACAACTGGAACACCTGCCTCTGAGCTCAGGACTCTCTTGTTGTGGAGCTCCTGGAGCCCTTGAAATACTCAGTGCTTGGGAAACTGCCATGGTTGGGCTGGCCCAGTATTGTGGCTCGTGGCAACCCCCATAGTGAGACTTCAGGGCTACCTAGAAATCTTCATCTGCTCTGCAAGTTTGTTTTAGTTGCATTTCATCAGAAGTACACTGAGACAAATACATTTGTGGAAAAAAGGATCAGCGGGAGTCAAGATCAAGAGTCTTCTCATAGAAAAACTCTTCTGCTACCCAATTTCAGGCATCTCTGACCTGTGATGGTATTGAATGGCTGGGAGAATGCAGCATGGGGAGAACGCAGCCTTAGGGAGACTGGTGCTTATAGGGATGCTCTGCTTTGAATGACTCAGAACTTATGTTTTGGCATCATCTAACTATTAAAAATCTCTGACTTCTGGCATAATTAAATAAGATAATCCTGGTGACATGCTCAAACTATACCACATGCTAATGTGGTTGCATCATATCTATCTATGTGTCTCATTTATCTCATCCTGTATTTGCTGCTTCTGTTCTCTCTTGCACATAGGCATGGTGTAACTATATCGGTAACTGAAATAGCTGTTTGCCCACGTTCCTGTGGCGTTTGTGGAGGATCAGCTAATTCCCTACTGGGAAGTACTCTTTTGATCCAGAGATGTGAGGTAGATACAAAGAAATGTAACATGGTAAAATCAAGTGTGGTTTTGAAAGAAATAGAATCATGGCAATATATGATCAGTTAGATTGCAAATGGCATAAAATGAAAGGGATACTCCCCTTAAGCCAGCACTGAGTCACACACTGGCTGACTATGTTGAAAAAGGTTTTTGCACTGCTGTGAATGATCCACACGACTGATAAGAAGAGAGCTTTTGCTTCTGGTACTCATTCTGCCAAAACTAGTAATTTGAATTTAACCCAATTACCTGCTAACAATTTCATGAAGTAATTTGGGAAATTGCATGCCCTTCATGCCTTACGCAGTTCAAAAATGCAACAAGGAGGGAAAGGTATCTGGGAATCTACTTAGTAACTACAGGCACCAGGCTGCAAGCTGCTTGCTGGAAACAACAAAATTCCTTTCAGGAATTGGGGGAGCAGATAAACTGAAGAGGAGGCAAGAGAAGATAAGAATGGATGGAAATAAACTTCAAGGAATGACAATGCTATGCAAGAGGCCTTGGTTCAAAGACTTGTTATCATCAGTCATTTGTTTTATATTCTCTCTTAGAAGCTTCCATTACGAAACTGAGCTGTCATTACGCTTATCAACACACAGTGAGAAGCTTTGGCTTCACTTCTCTCCAGAGCAAATGGAAGTAGATGTTTACACAGCCTCCTGGTCTGAAGTGCAATAATACTACTTCCTCCAACTACACCTTTCCACCTTCCTTGTCACTGTGTAATTCACAAAGAGCTTAAAAGGGAGCTGGGACAGACAAAGCATGAAAAATAATAATGAAAAAGGAAGTGTTACTTCTATTTTACTGTCTAGGAAACCAAGAACAGAGAGGTTAGTGGACTTTTCTGGAGACAGTTGACTAGAAAGTTTTGAAGAATAAAGATACACCTGGCCACAGGACACTCCAGTTACAGAACAATCAGAAAGGAGGACTCTGTAATGAAACACAGTAGTTGCAATCACTAACTCCAACACTTAAAGGAAATGTTTTGCAGGAGGAAATGTGACCACTAAACACACATTTTGGAACTTCAGCATTGCAGAACTTTTGGGAACAGGTATTTCAAGGTAAAAACGGAACAAGATCATTATCAGCTTTCAAGGTGTAACACAGACAGCCTTCTAGTAAGCCTTCCTTTTAATCAGAAAAAAGATTTTAAAAGAAAAGTAATGCCAGAAATTAACTTATGTATATAAATAATATACAAAACCATATACTCTGCATGCTGTTGGCATCTTACCCTTTCAGACTCAGAGAAGGAGTATGGAGGAGGAAGCTAAGTATCTTTAAGATTTCTACCCATTTGTACTGGAACTGGAGACAACTATTATGTGTAGGACTTTCAGGCCAAGAAAAAGTGATTCTACCTTTAAAATCCAACAAGACTTGTCTGCAAAGGTCTGCAATACTTCTCTAGATAGTTTAATACATCAATTTTACTTGTTCAGTTTGTTGTCAGGCAACCAGTGAAGTCTTCTGATTTGGCTTACTCTGCCTGTTCAGGGCACAGTGCTTTTAATCATATTTCAGGACTAAAAAATACCATTACTTATTCTAACTGCTAATGTAGAATTGTTTTTATTATGTTAGGTTTTGTGACCTGTGATTTCTCTAAAACTGTGTCAGAAGCAAAGCTGTAAAACAAACTACAGACCTAGAGGATGGGATTAACAAATCTTTCTAACAACAGACTTTCCTTATCAGTGGCTGCATACACTGACACAGACAGCCAAGATTCAGGACTCTGCAATACTTCTGGCAATAACTGGTTAGCAAAATGGGGAGTGTTCTAGTTATTCATTCATTCCAGTGTCAGGATCTGCAATATTATCTGCTAGATTCAGATTCATTTCTCCTCCTGAAATTCTGTCAAAAAGATAAAGAGAGCTTTAATTTATTAGTTGGTAACTGTGTGGCACAGCACATACACCCATGTCAGATGATAGTTTTAGATTTGGACTGAGGGTGTCCCTTTTCATTCAATAGGTGTATGTAAATTTTTTAAAATAAGTTTTGGCATTCTCCAAGTACTGTAATATGCATAACATATTGCACTTCAAAGTACTATTTTTACCCTGTAAAAGAAGCTGCAGGCTATAGACTTTATCAACATGCACAACAAGCATCTTAGTATTACAAAAGGGAAGACTAATTATAGATTTATATTCTGGCAAATATATATACTCTTTAAATATCTCCATTAGTAACATAATTCCCTCAGTGCACAGGTTTTTTACTTTGTGGTGTGCTCTTTCAGTTTTCAGCATTTCTTTGTGCAGAGTTTTGTTTGGTTTTTTTTTTTTTTTTTTAAATTAATACATAGGGAAGGAATAATTCTAGTAACCTAATTTGTGAAGTGTGTTAATTTTCAATAAAGAGATGTAAACTGATTAATCTTAAAAATCTGGGATATTTAGTCTGTACAAATATGGTAAGGCTCATTAAAAACTCTTCTCTGCTAGGAAGCATTTTTGCAATCCTGCAGATCAACTTTACCAGAGAATTTTCAAGCCCTTCTTGTTCTAATTATAATTTTCAGTGTTCAAGCTCTTAGAAATGAGAAGGACTAGGATATGGACATCATATTTTTAAAACAGGTAATGTATGCTTGAGCATCCAGATAAGGGCAGTTTGAGAGACACTTCATTAAGGCTGCACAGCTAACTGCAGCTCTGGAGCAGCCCCGGTCACCGACTTTCTGTAGAGTAAGACATGTTCAGAATCTACTTTTATTTAATTTAAAACAACTCAGCCACTGTTACACCTTATTTGTCACATATCAAGTAATGTCAAGCTGCTGCAACAAGCTCAGAAAGAGTAATGCCACACTAAAACTGAGAATGATCCTGTGCCCCCATTGGCAGACTTACAGGGAAGAGATGGTTCCAGAGTGGAAACACAGGAGAAGAGCAGGTCACGCCACCACAGAGCAGCACACCTAACAGCCAGACTGGTTTCTGTACACATGCAGCTCAGGCTAATTAACACAAAAAAAGACAACCCGCTTCATTTCATAGACAACACCGCTAGCATTAGCTACAGAGATTTTATTATGGGTAGTTAATGTTTCTCTGTATTTGCTTTTGAGCCATCACAGTAAATAAAAGTTAATTATTACTTAGAGATGAAGTTAATTAGTACTTAGCAGGCTGACAGGAGATCCTGCAGAAAAAGGTGCTTTATTGTTGAGTATTTTGTACAGCTAACAATTCATTTGTCTTCTGAAACCACATGAGTCAGATACAGAGCTGTTTACACAGTAAAAATTAATGCAATACAGGTACAACTACTCTGCTATAGGACACGTTAACAAAGCAGGTATGTGTAAGGCAAAACTGGGCAGCTTCCCAGCCTCTAATTTTCAAGCTTAATTCCTTGTACTCTATTAAGAAGAGTTTAAAACTCAGGCCATGCCTTTGCACTCATACATTACTCATTAATTATTTCAAACTATGCCCTTTCATGCATTTCTGAATGTGTGAACAAAAGACATGCATCTCTGATACTCATATTTGCATTTACTAAATGTGCAATGACTTTGAACTCACAAACACAAAGGGCCGCAGTTTTATGCTGATGGCAGTAGTAAATACATAACTGTAAATTTATTTATCCAACCCATGGCTGCAGCCCAGCCTCAATTTATTTGAACCTGTGCAAAAAGTTGGACAGGAATTACTTTGGTTTAAAAAATGGCTTTTTCCTAGTTTGGGTTAAGTAATTTTCTTATCAGTTTAGCTATAGATTATGATAGATAAAAGCAAGCATCTTTGGCAGCAGCTGAAAACTGAACTCTTCTCTGTGCTTGTAGGTACCATGTCCCCTTTTCAGTGAATCTATTCAGATGAGAAGTGGTTGTGGCTTGAGATTAACTCTATGTATTTATCCAAAGGGTCCTTGGAGATGTTACTGAATATAACTATGAGTTGTGGTTTATACGCCAAGTAGAAAAAAAAGTGACTTGGCCACTGCTGAGTGTGTTCTGCTTACTACCCAAAGGACTGCTCCCATGCCTGAAAAAGCTGGTAGGAATCAGCAGGTATTGGAGCAGGTGAGCAGAACTTACCTAGCACAAATGGCAGAAAACACTGCAGTCCCATTAATACCTAATGTTGCTGTAGATTAAGATAACTTGCTCGGTCTCTGGAAAGAAAATTCCAGGTACACGGGCACTTCAGTTGTCCCACTGATGGACCTATGACACCAGAACTAATCCTTCAAGTATTTTAGTCTTTCAGTAGCCCAAATGGCACTTACAGAGCTATACAACAGTAAAGTGCAAAGAAAGAAAATTGTGAGAGAAAGCTGCCGACTTGGTGGTTCTCATAGGAAATGCTAACACTCCTGAGTGTCTGAACAAGAGACTGTGCCCAAAGGAACTGCCCACAATGAGCTATCTACTGTAAACAGCATTACTACTGCTTGAACAAAACATACGTGACAGCAAATTTCTGTTGAGGCTACCCTGAAACCCTGATATGTGAATAGAATGAATTTTATTTACTCTTCATAGTAAAAAAGAGTAAATGCTTGTTTACATAGAATAAAATTGTCTAAATAGAGGCATGTGATGATAAAAATCGTATTACTGCTTGTAACTGTGTTTTGGTCCAGCACAACTATGAAATTGTGTTTCAAAGAAACAAACCTTACTGTTTTACCTGCTATAGTCTAGATCTCTTCATGGGGTTTTGCACCGTTACTCATCAACAAATGCAATCATAAATCTGTTCTGCCAGTCAGAAGTATAGACACATGCTCAAGCTATGTATAAAAGTCTTAATTATTTTGAGTTTGTGGAGTAGGCATATTTTTATGTGACTCCAGTGGATAGTCCCTTATGCTTCATAAATTTTTGCAATTAACATGAAGCAGGAATTGTTTATGAAAAAGATATTAACAAAGTGGTTATAAACAATACCTGTATGGGTCAAAGAACTTCACATCCTGTGAAACTGTTACTCTTGTATTTGCATCAGCAGACCATACAACTTTAGACCTAGGCTTAAAGGTCACCATGCTATAAATCCACTAGAGCTCTGGTCTCCCCAAAGGGTGCACAATATAGTCCATTGGGGTGCAGGAAGGAAATATTTTTGCACCATTAATAAATAATTTTTAAAAAAATTAAATAGTGTTTATTTCATCTTTATATCAGCCTTTTTAATTTCTGGTTTTATGTATGTTTTATAATGTACATAATATATTAGTATAGTAGTATATGTATATAATTTATAAATAAATAAATATACATAAACTGAGGGAGTGTTCTCCAAAGTTTTTTACTGATAGGGGTGTATGATCAAAAAAGTTTGGAGACCACTGCACTAGAGTCTTAAAATAACTTTAAGAGGCTCACACAGGTTTAAAGTTTCTTTTAAGTTACCATTAGCTTTTCTCCAGTGCTAATCTGTAATATCACTCCTAGAACCATTTTTAAAAGCTTTGTTTTTACTATTATCATCATTAGTCAGGGGCTAATATTATACATCACACCAACAATTGTTATTCAGGGAAAGATCTTTTTGACTTCAATGCAACTTATGCACTCCAACCAGGCTTCTGATTACTATCTTCTGTTATGCATATATTTAGTCCATGTAGTAGCCATTAAATAAATATAGAGAAGCCTTATAAAGAAAGTTGTTTTCATTGTATTGAGCAGTAATTCTTCTGGTCTGATACACATGAGGCATTTCAAAATATGATCTGTAAGCAAACTCTTCTCTTGGAGCCATCAAGGTTCAAAGCAAGAAAACAAATAAGTGTGCAGGCCTGTTTTATCATCACCATTGTTTTGGGTACCTGTAGATTGAGTGCTTACCTCAAGCATCCTGTGGCATTGTAGAAGATATCAGGGTCAGGTAAAACACTTGACTTGGGGTAATCTCGATCTGGCCAGCCTGAGTAAGGGATGAGAACAGCTTCGGTCAGCGTCTGCAGAGCTTCTCTAATCAACAGGTGCTTCAGCTGGTCATTGGAGGACAAATTCCACAACAAACCTGCAACATCCAAAATAAAATCAGAGTCGCAAAAAGACTCCCCCACAATTTGAAAGACCTAATCTCAAACTTCTTGAAGTTAATGAGTGAAGGAGCCTATCTGGCACTTGATATCCTGAAGAGGAGCAAAAGGGGGTGCTAAAGAGTTTGCCAGCCCTGATCAGAGGACATGGAAACGGGGCAAAAAAAAGGGCACAGTTATCTACATAATTCAAGTCAGATCTCTATATAGTCAGTCTAATGCCCGACCAAGACATGCAGTTTTCCAAGGCTCTGCACAAGCATTGCCCATCTGCAGCAATCACCTTCCCCATTACCAAAGAAGCTAACACCACCAAAACCAGTGATCATTCTCCGCACTTCCAGGAAGGAATTTGTCCCTTCTGGATGCCTCGCAGGACTAGTTGCACTTCCAAGTACCAAGTAAAGACCAATGAGCAGGAGAATAAATTCACATGCAAAGGGAGTAGATAGGAGGTAGAGAGAGAGACTTTACTGTCTTTGAAAATCTGCTGGAAGGCAGGAGATGACCATTACCAAGTTTCTCTAACACTTGACAGCAAAATTCCTCCTAGGACGGAAAGCTGTTAAACAGTTGGTCGTTACTGTCCAGACATTTGTCACTAAACAAATCATTAAGGAACACTACACACTTTTTCTACTCACAATCACCAAACAGCAAAACAAATCTGAAATATAATCTTGCATAATTTATTAGCTTGACTGTGATAGTTTCAGTGGACTATGTTCTATTACATTCTGTTCCAACATTATTTAAAGTACTCTTCCCCTGGAAAAAGACAAGTATTTCTGCTTTTCACTACAAAGGCATTCATTGTTTCCCCAGCTTGCTGCTCTAAGTTTCACAGACCTCCTCCTCCAAAGAGTATTAGTGAATGTACTTTTCCTCAGGTCACAACAAAAAAATGTTTCTTTTGTATCTCCTTACACTTTGAATTTAATTACACCTATTGTGAGCAAAAGTAAAATCAAAACAAAAGCCAGACAGAAGCAACCCATTCCTTCTTCTGGGATCAGCTCTTCCGCCTCTGAATTAGGGGATAAAACAAAGAATGTATTTTCCTAAAGAAAAAGTCAGGCTTATAGGAAATCAGACAGGCAGTCCAAGGGCATTGCTAAAGGAACAGAATTAAGACAGAATGGCACAAATGCAAGGGCACAAGGACAGAATATTACAATAAAAGGAAGAAGTATATTTTGAATTAGAGACAGATATCTAGAATAGAATTGTCAGAACAGAATTTGAGATATTGCTCACACTGTAAATTTTCCAACAAAAACCCTACCTTTACCCACAGGCACTGTCTCACTGGGTTCAGAAAGATTCTCTCAGTGGCATTCTGGGTGTGGATGAATTTGTTCACATTAGAAAATGTCTTCAGGAGTGGGCTCTTTCCTTGAAGCTATGCTAAAATGTGTTCATAGGGGCATAGTTTTCCCTTAGACGGTTATTTAGGAAAATGGGTGGGGACTCTTTAAATTTATATGTCTTTTAATGACAGATCTGTTTGAGCTGTGATCTTCCCTGCAGGAAAAAAAGTATTTCATTTCTTAGATGTATACTGCATGATAACAAGATCAAGAGGTGAGATACTACCTGGAGGCTCACTTGGCTTACCTTCAAAAGCTAATCTTTTTCATTTTTTTCTTGTCACAGACACTTCAGTTTCTGTTCCTCAGTATGCTCTCCAAATACTACAAAATGCCATTCCTGTCTTGGCTCCTGCATTGCCTCCAAGTGACATCCTGCCCTACTATTCAGGAGTAACCTCATTCCTTTCCTAAGAGATTTGCAAGAAGTTTGTTTGTATGTCAAACAAAGGACAGAGCCTATAGTTCCTTTACTTGTATCAATGATTTTATGAAGCTAGCAAATTCAGTCAATGTGACCTTGAGGAGGTCTTCTTCCCCCTAAGAGGACATCATATAGGCACAGAAATTGCACAGAGAAACCAGGCAGCTACTCTCTGCATATGGGCATTCAGTAAACTGGTCCACAGCAGCTTTCAAACCAGTCATAAGCACAGTGCCACTTTGGTGTGAGTGCTGGTTTGGTGCTTTTTCTATGTTCTACTGGGATGCAGCCTTCTCCTGGGAAGGACACAGCACTTGCTATAACCAGCATTTATCTCCCTATGCTTTCAGTGCTTTCAGTCTTTTTGTAGGATGATACAAAGCACACTGAATGACTATGCTCACACTGTATTCTTCAGCCTAGGTATTGAAGAAAACACAGGCCATCAAAATATTATTTGAGAATATATGATATGATATAGCTTAATACTAGGCAAGCATTTGCCTGTATTAACACTACTGGTACTAATAAGCCACTGACCTTAAAGATAAGCTTTTAAGGCTGAGATGTACTTCTATCATGTGCACAAGTATCAGATCATATTTCTGACAGATAATGAAGTACGGTATGAGAAAGCTTCTGTGTCTCGGAGTTTTATCTTCCTCCTCTCTGACAACTTCCTTATCTTAGCATATTTTTGTCAGGTGGAGTGCTTTGGTACCATGCTTCCTACACAGCAGTATAAGCAAAAAGTTTTCTTCTGCTGAGCTTAGACATCTTTATTAGTAAGTATCATAGGCTTTCGATCCTTGGCCAGGAGTCTTTCACCAGAGTTTTGTGTGGTATTATCAGGTACCAAGATTATTTTACTAATCTCTTACAGGGAAATACATTCAGCTAATTTTCATATCACACATTTGAAAGTCTCTAATTTAGAGTCAAAATAGGCAAGAAATAAGTATGATGTGGAAAGACAGATGGGCTTCTCATGCTGAGCAGGTGGAAGCCCAAAGGCTCTGCCTTAACCTTTTCCTGGAAGTGTTATGACACTGCAGTACAATTGCATGCATAGCTATGATATTCCACCAGTCCTGTAGGAAGCCAAAGGCAATGCAAGAGGAGAAAGAAAACTTGTAGGTGAGCCATCAGTCAGACAGGGAAACTTGCTCAGCAGGGTTTAACCATTTTGGTAGAAAGCCACTCAGAGGTTTGCACTGTGCTTGGAAAAGCCTTACGTTGCAGCCGTTCTCGAGCTACACAGTCAATCTTTGCAAGACAGTAATTCCAGTGTTTTCTAGATATCGTTGTACATGCCAAGATCATCTGGAAGCATTGACCTTAGTTAAGCATACTCTTAACAGTGACTGACTACCTCCTGTCTGCAGCCTGCTCCTTGCCTGCCTTTGAAATGTGGGCTGGGAAAGAAAGTGGCTGAAAGTAAAGTTAATATTCTCATATATCATTCAAGCAGGCTGTCTTTTGCCTGGTAGGCTCCTTGCAGCTTGCTAGGGAGCTGGAAGAATTGCTCAAGTCATGCTAAAAAGTATGCCCTAGTGCTATTTCCACCAAGGGACCCAGTATACTTCTTCCTGACTGCAAATTTGGTCTTAAACAAAGTCAGAAATACTTCTCTCTTGCTGTATTTTTAAAGCCATCTCTTGCAACTGGTAGGCACGAAAGTATATCAGAAAATTTTGCTTTGTGCAAACCACAACATCCTGCTTAATATTGCTTAAATATTTTGTTGGTGTCTTGTACGTTTCCTAAGTAAATATCCATGTTTAAGGACAGCAGTAATTGAAGAAAGCAGGTGCCTCATCATCAATTTCCAGACTAGTGAAAGGGAAGACAATAGTATTCACAATATCTGTATGAGTTAACCTGCACAAACAGTCTGAGCTCTTGTCAGAAATGATGAAAATGCCAGCAAGAAAAGAGTATAAGCTTTCTGGCAACTGTGCTGTGATTTTCACTGCTTCCCTCACTGGTGTGTAATAGCACTGAAAGACAATACACTATGCAGTAAGTTACCAAGTGACCCAATTCTGCATCTGATGAATGTGAAAAACTTCAAAAAATTTTAATGTTGCAGAGCTGTAGAACTGAGCCAAAAGAGCCAACAATACAAAGCATTGTTGTCCAGCTTAGGGAGCCCAGTATTTCAAATACTTAAAAGAATGCAGAATTACAGAATGTCTCAACATGCCTTTGCTTCAAGGCAGGACTGCCTGACACTTTCTGTACCTTTTCAAGCACTGTTATTTTAATAGCTTGTGTTCCTGGTATCTTTAAAGATCACTTGAAATAAATCCTCATTCATTTATTCATAATGTTTTATTTAATTTATAAAAAATAAGCCTGCTCTTCCTTTTCATGCTAACTAGACTGAATGTGGATCACAAGTGGTTGACTTCCTAGAGTCAAACATGAGTGCAGGGATGAAGTGATGGGTATTTCTTACCCATCTGTAAAGCCAACAGGGCAGTAACCACAAGTTTCTTTGTGAGAAGGTGTGGACATTTCCTCCCACTGTTCCTTCTGCTACATTGATGTACAAGAAGAAGTGTAAGACGAGGTTTCTGATCCAAAAGGCTCTTCCTTCAAAATTGCAATGGGCCCTACTAATTTTTAACAGCTCTTCCTCAAGGACATTGGAACTAAAAGGATGAGAACATAAGTCCTGCAAAGACTGGATCCAGAATGCAGGTCACTCCACTGATGGTACTGTATGATCTTTACAGTCAAATGGATGTCCTGCAGGAATTCTCTGCTCTTCACACAGAAGAGAAGCATGGGGTTGCTGTGGCAATGTTTTCTGCTTGTCACAGATCTGAGAAGGCAAACTCTGGGGTGTAAACAGCTAGGAGTGAGAGAGCTCAGAGAAGAAATATGGGGCAATAGGGTTTGTGGGGAGTAGGACATCCACTTTCTATCCACAGCACCTGACAGTTCGGGGAGACAGTCTTCAACAAGGAGCTCCCAGTATGCACTAGAAGCATGGTGCCAAAAAGTGAGGGCTGAGCTGCTTCGGAAGTAGTGGGCATTAATTATGGCCCCAGGCACCTCTTGGACTGCTCCTATCACTACTCACCAAAATGGTTCTAAAGAAATTGCTATTTGGAGCCTCACTTTCTGGAGCATCAAAGACTTTAACCTTCCTGCAAACATGGGATTTCTGAAGAAGCTTTAAGAGGGGAAGTTGCAGTTCCTAGTCTCTTCCTACTGTCTTAAAGACTGCTTTTGAGTAAGGACCTTGGAATTTCACCCTAAGGGAATAGCTTAGAATAGATGACAATGTTCTTGTATTTATTCACTAAACATTGGCCTAAGTAAACAATCGTGCACCTCACACAGAAAGCTTGTGCACTACTTAAAGCACTCCATGCCTGACTGCACAGAAAACATTACCTGTTATTTGCTTTTTAGTCTCTACATCCCTGGTGTGTCGGAGTAGGCGGAGCAACAGTGGGATCCCTTTCTGCTCTGACACTTCCAGTTTGTTGTCATTGTCTTCAAACACCAAGTTTCTCAGAGCACCACATGATGCCCGTTGAATGTCCTCGTTCTGAACGTCAAGAAGCTGTAAAAGTTTGGGGATACCACCAAGTGAGAAAACCTGTGAGGAAAACAAAAACCAGCAGAGAATAGTTAGATACTGTAAATTACAAACTCCACACACCCCCCAGCAAACCTTTAAATAATCATAGGGACTTTTTTCGCTTGCTCCTATTTGAAAGACTTGAAGCACAGATCATTAATCATTTGGACATGACGCAAATTCGGGGCTTTCATATGAGTCACAGTTATAATCCATAACTAAGGGAGGCAACATATTTTAATAATTAATGTAAGAGAATGAAACTAAATCTCTTCCAGCTTTGCTGCAGATTGTACTCTCTGACAAAACATTTAATTGCTCTGTATTCCAGCTTCCATGTTGGTGAAATGGATATTTGAGATTTAACTCTGGAACATTTATAAACTGCCTTGAGATTTCTGGATGTAAAATGTTCTTAATGTGCAAAGTTTGTTTTGTTTTTCTTTTTTCTCAGCATCAACCTGATGGAAAGGTAGTATTTTTCTCTGATAAATTTTGTGCATCTATTGAAAGTGTATTAAACAAGAATACCTTTTACTTAGTACTTCTTATCTGTGGCATACTGAGAAAAAACTAGTAAACTAGTAAACTTCAAAATGTAGGCCACTAAACATTGTAATCTACTTACCTACTGAATCACTTACATTTAACAAAGACTACTCTCCAGTGTCTAATTCTTTAGAAAATGAGGTTTTGGCCTCAAATGAATGAAGAATTAAGAAGATGTTATTTTACAGCAGCTGTACGGAAACACATTGTTTCTAAGTTCTACATGTCGTGGCAAATGATGAATCTGATACAAGCTGTGATGTGGCATAAGCAAACCTTGGCTCATTTAGGAATGAGTTTACTACAGAAAATACCTTTCATTCATGTACAATTGAGGACGGTTTCTCCTAGCATCTCAAAATGCCATATGGTTTTGTGGACAAACTCATCTTTGTGTAGAATCAACAGCATGTGAAAGACTTGGAAATCTGATACATTTTTTTTTTTAGTATTCCAGAGTTTAATGATAAAAAGAATTTAATATGACCGACAGGTGTTAGCAACATGAAGATATGAAACGTAATAAAGACTTCTGCCCTTCATGCCCTGGCAAACTACACTGCTCACCTGCCTTTCCTCTGATTCTGTTGTACAAAAGATAGTTTCTAGCTGCTTCACTACTGACCCAATTCACAATCATCTAGATACCAAACGAATGCAATACAGAAATATATATGTTGAGGTAAGTGGAGCTTAGAACACGCTGAAGGCACATTGACCTATTTTATTACAGTAGATAAGCCCTTTTGACACCGATGCCACAGCTGGTTGGGTTTTTTAAACATTCATGCAGACTTTCTGCTGGCAATTTTAAGCAATTTAACACTCTTGTAAAAGAAGTGGTGCTATTTCAACCTAATGTGCAGGGGAGAATTTACAAAAGCTACTGATCAGTCTGTCTAAATTTTAATCGGTAGACAGAATTCAGCAAAATACCATAAGACCACAAGTTCACAAGAAAAATAAAAGCCACAGACTATCAGGTACTGAGGAACAAAGCATTGGGAGACAAAGAAAAGGAATGCAGGCTGAAAGGCTAAAATGGGGAAACAAGACAATGCCAACATGAACAAGTCTGATGGGCACCAAATAGAAAAACTCAACTAGGATATGTGGGATAGAAAGGAAAATGGAAGATGGTTTCAGGCTGACTGCTCCAATTTGAACTCTTTTAATCATCCACTTGTTTTTCAGGGAAGCTTCCTGAGAGAGGTCTGAATAATAAATCACCTTCAAACATTCAGTTCTGAAGCTCTGTCCTCAGACTGAAGTTAAGACTGCTAATTGTACTGGTGATTTTCTCCAAAACAGACTTTGATCTACCGTGAAGCAAGTTAAAACTGCCAAAGGACTGAGTGATGTTTGGCTGTCACTGAACTGGACTGCATATACATGAATATGGAGTAAAGGCTGAGATTATGTATGAGTAATACTGAGTAAACTATGAAACGAAGCAGGTGTAAGAAATTAAAAAAAAAATGGTTGAAATAAACAACCACCTTACACATTAGTGTACAGAACTGTTCAGCAAGACAGCCATTATTGTGCTAGACAGTGAAATTTAAAGAAAAAGAAGAGGATAATATTTTTAATATGCCCTTTCAAAAAACTTGAAAGAGACTTAAAAAATCTCTTGTAAGGGACTTAACGAATTTGGTTAATCCAAACAATGTATTAGTGTATTTGTGCAGTCCCAGCAAGCCCTTACCACTTTGGCTAATCCATACACTGTATAATGGATTCATGCAGTCCTAGCAAACCCTGAAGCTTGGGTAAGTTTGCAGTACTCCCAGAGTTTCTGTTTCTGGGATATCTCTGCACCAATGGCGTAAGCATGCCAGTCATAAATGAGAGACAGGAGCAATTACATTGACAAAAGGTTCAGACACTATGACTTACTCCAAAAAGCTTAAAGAACAATGTTTGTTTAGCCTGAAAAAGAGCAATCTAAGTAGGGATACACTTAGCAGCCCTAACATAGATGAAAACCCATTATAAAAGGGACAGAAAAACAGTCATTTTTTCCATACCAATCAAGTTAGGATAGAAATTAATCAACTTAGTTTGCAAAAATGGAGATTTAAGTTATTCCTAAAACATAAATGGCAAGAGTAGCAAAGTTCTTTGCCTGCAGGAGCTTGTGGGATCCTAATCAATATGATTTTTTAAAAGTTGGTCACCATAAATATCTGTAATTACAGATGGTTTGCGGGAATCTTACCCTACGTTTCCATGTCTTCTATCACAAAATGCTAAAGACAAAACTTTTGCTAGCATAAATGAGTGCCATTCCACTGATTTAAAATAATCTGCAGCAAAAAGCATCAGCATATTTTAACGAGAATATCCAAAATCAGTAACCTACATATTTTCTTGGAATATCTGTTTTTCATGTTGTTACACAGTGCCATGCAGTATAGAAAGCTATTTGCTCTACCTGACTGAAACTGGCATAAAAATAATTACTTACTCTTCTTCTGGCATCTGCTTTCTGGAAGCACTCATGCTGTATGAAAGTCACTGCAGCAAGAATCCTAGGTGCGGACTGTGTATTTTCACTCTTCAGTATGCTCACTGCACGCTCCAGTGTCATCTCCCCTTCTGGGCTCCTTAAAAGTACAGACAGAGGAAATATAGTTAAGCAAGACTGCAGAAAAATCATCACTTAGCCTGTGAAATTTACTGCAATACTAGGATTTTCAACTTTTTCAAATAACTTTAGCTTTTATTGGAAAATTACTCCCTCTTCAATACCTGAAAATATTTTATAAAAGCTTTAAGACATACTAATATTCTGGGGGAAGAGAAAATCATAAATGGAAGTGCTGCCACAATGAGAGGTTCTGGACAAAGCAAGTAACGCTTCCAATTATAAAAACAAAACAGAAACATCAGTGGATGAAGGACTAAGATCCAAAGAAGGTCACAACCAAATTAATGTGTCTTTTACTGATCATGAAGATACCTTGATGTTTTTCTCAGTAATGTGAAGATTGATTTTATTTTTGTTTTCATGCCTTTCTCCAGTTTCTCAGTTCCCAGATTACATACATGCAGGATTCAGTACCTGCTTTTTTCAAGCTTAAATAAGTTGTTCTAGTTTGAAATAGATAGGCAAAGACTTTTTTCAGGTGGGACAAAGTAAAAAGATTACTCATTAAATCAAGTATGTACATTGCCTATGGTAGGATTAAAAATATGCATGGCCACTTTCCTCTCAACTTCCAGCATGTTTGCTTGAATAATTGTGTTAGACAATCACATAGAGAATTGGAAGAGAGGCTACCAGACCCATTTTTTCCCCAGTAAATGGCACAATCAGGTGCATTAGCTCTGGGACAGGTGGTTATGATCCCCAGTCTTTACATTTACTTTTTAATACTCTCCACTTAGAGAAATAAAAAAAAAAAGGGGGG